GGAGGGTCGCCTTGCTCTGCTGGTACCGAGCTAGCCCTTGACGTGGATGCCAGGTCTGTGTCTGCCTCGTGCTGCGTGATCCCCCTCATCTCCTCACCCTCCTCGGGTGTGGGGTGATCCTGGCTCCAGGGCGGCCACCTGGCGGGGTAGATCATCGGCGCGTGCTCCGAGCCGTCGTCCTCCGCTCGAGAGTCCTGCGTGCCCGCTGTGCCGAACTGGGTCAAGGGGGCCTCCTCGTAGTAGCGCCTTTGGATCTCCTTCGCCTCGTGGTCCCTCACTACGGACTCCAGCTCCTCCTCCATCTGTACGGCTTCCCATTGTGCTTTCTCCTCAGCAGCTTGTCTGCGCAACTCATCTTGTTCGCGCTCGTATCTTTCTGCCTCCTCGTGCGGGTCTGGCCTGTCGGGGCTCCTGGACCTGTCACGCTCTATGAGGGGGGCATCGCCTTCGTCGGTCTGGCGGGCTGCTGACCTGGCTGACCTGGTTGATGCTGGCCTCCGAGGAGAGGAGCTGCTCTGCCTGCGGCCCCTGTTGGCTGGGCGCTCCTCGGCTGCACCAGTTTGGAGATTGGTCGCAACGGGGGGCTCCGCTGTGGCGGTCGCTGCCTCGGCTGCTCCTCTGGCTTCCTCGTACAGGTCAGCGGCCTCCTGGTAGTCGTCCATGGACTCTTGGGACGTTGGGAGGTGGCCCCCTTGGACGAGGTGATGAGCTGCCCTCTTGGTGAAGTCGTAGCCCTCCTGCCCGTATTGCCTCATCTCGGCGTACAGGTTGACCATGGCCTTGCGTTCACGTTCCCTGCTGGCTGCAATGGCTTCCAGGCTCTGCATCCTCAGCTTTAGCTCCTCTGTCTCCGACGCGCCCTGCTGCTCCTTCTTTGCGATGGCGTCTAGCTCGGTGTGCAGCGTGCTGGAGCGCTGGAGGCTTTCTTGCAGCGCGAGGTGGATGGCCTCCTCCCTGCCCGTCCTCTGCTGGCTGGCGAAGTCTTCCATGGCGGAGGCCTCCTCCATGCTGGCGATCCTGAAGGTGAGGGCCTGGGCGAGCTCCTCCTCCAGCGCCTGCTCCTGCACCTCTGCGTTGGACCTTTGCTCGCTCAGCTGCACCGCGTAGCTGCTCAGTTCCTGTCGCAGGCTCTCTGTGTGCAGCTGCAAGTCATGTGCGTTCGCCTCTTCTATCATGACTTGGCGGGTGAGACTCGACCTTATTCGCTCAGCACTGCCTTCGAGCTCTGCCCGCATTGCCTCCTTGTCCTTCAGGCTGGCCTTCGCGATCTCCTCCTCCTCTGCTCTAGTCCTTAGCAGGGCGAACTGCAATGCCTGCACCTCGTGCGGGATTTGCCGCTCCTTGTTGGCGCTTCTCAGCTCCGCTGCTTCATGGTATGCCACTTGTACTGCACGCTGCGCAGCGCCCGCCTCAAGCTTGGAGTACTGCTGGAGCTCGTGTATGCGGGCTTCAGCTGCCTCGAGCTCGCTTTCGGTCTGCTTGAGCCGCTCCTGCTGCCGTGCTGCTGTCTGGGCGATCCCTTGCAGCCTGGCCGCCTCTGCCGGCGGGAGGGCCCCTTTTCCCTTGGCATTGGCAACCACTTGGGCCTGGGCGATTGCCTGGGCCCTGGCTGATTCGGCGGCAGCTTCAATCTCGAGGGCGTGGTTCTTTTTGGCCTCCTGGAACTTCTCTTCCATGACCAGCTCCTGCCTGGCGAGCTGCTGCTTGAGAGTGCCCGCTGTAGCTGTCGCTTGGGCGCTCTCGTGCTGGGCCCGTCGCAGTGCCTCTTGCGCCTCGGCTCTTGCCCGCAGCAGGTCTTGGTAGACCCTGTCCTGGGGTTGCGGCTTCTCCCAGTGCTCCGCTCGAACTTGCTCAAGCTGCTCATGCAGGTGATTTGCCCGGTGGGTCGCGGCTTCGGCCTCTGCCTTGGCTTGACTGAAGGCTGTGTCATGGCTGATTATCCTGGCCTCCATCTGCGTCGCGAACTCGAGCTGCTCGGCTTGTTGCTTCTTGATTTCATGGCGGAGGGCCTTGTGTTGCTGCTGCTGCTGCTGGGCTGCGCTCTCCGCTGCGGTGATGCGCTGCAGCTGCTCTGACTCCTCCATGAGTGCCAGCCTGAGTTTCGCCTGCTCGCCGTTGTGGCGGAGTGCTTGTTCTCGGGCGACCCTCCTGACTTCCGCCAGCTCGGCAGCAAACTCTTGCTCGGCTTCGGCATGGCGCTGCTGCTGGTGGGCCCGCTCCGCATTCGCCTTGGCCACCTGATCTGCGAAGCCTCTGGTTGCGCTGCCTGCCGAGCTGGCTCTTGAGCGTGGCGATCGCCCCACCACTCCCGCTGGCCAAGCTGGGACTCCGTCACCAGGTGCTTCGCTGTTCAGGCGCCTGTCGATCACGGCCTTGTGGAAGGCATCCCAGCTCGGTGCCAAGCCGAACCCGTCCGCGTCACAGTCGCCCTCGTCGTCCGCCGCGCCGCCGTCGGCGAGCACGGCCCGCACGTCGGCGATGTTGGACTCGAGCTGCCTCAACTCCTGCTGCTTGGCCTTGAGGTCGTCCCGCAGCTCGTTCGTCTTGGCCTCGAGGGCGATGACTTCGAGTTTGACGGCCTTGCGCCTCTTGCTGAGCACCTGCAGCTGGTCATTCGGCCTCCTCGTGACCAGCTTCTGATACTTGATGACCGCGATCTCCATCAACTGCTCCTTCGTGCTGTCCCCCGCGGCCTGCTTGGCAATGACCAGGTCGCCAAGCTTCCTCAGCCTCTGGTCGGCGGTGCTCAGAAACTTCTGGATGCCTGCACGGTCGGCCGGGGGCGCCTGCCACTTTGGGTGGGTGGTGGCCTCGTCCAGCGTGCAGGCCGCCACTGAGTCGATGACCTTTTGAGCTCGCTGGTCCGCTTTGCTGGAGCTGGCCTGGCCACCCTTGCCCGCCCTGGGCTGCTGCTGCTGCTGCTGCCAGGGAGGCTGACTGGGCTGCTGCTGCTGCTGCTGCTGCTGCCATTGGCGAGGGCTGGCCTGGCCAGAGCGTCGTGGCCGCGACGGCCCCCTGCGCCAGGGCGGGTCCTCACCTGCTGGCTCGGCGTGCCAGTGCTGCTCTCGCCAGCCAGCGCCATGCCACCTCTCCTGGCGCCATGGGGGCGCTGCTGGCGGTGCTGCTTCCTCCTGGGCCTGGCCCTTGCCGCTGCGGCCACCACTGCCTCTGCCCTTACCGTCACGGGCCATCGCTGGCTGGGCAGAGTGGTGGGCGGCCAGGCGCTCGGCCGCTGCCCGCAGGCGGAGCAGGAGCCTGTCCTGGGCTCTCTGCTGCCGCTCGCGGCGGTGGGCAGCGCCCTCTGGACCTCCTCCTCGGCGATGTCGCGGCGTCCCGCCGCTGGGCCGCAGCGCGGCCGCGAGCGCCGCGGCCTGCGGCAGGGGACAGGGAGGCACGGGTGGCCCCCTGCCGCAGAATATGGCGCGCGGCGCGCGTGAGCCCGGCCTCGGGGGCTGGCCGATGCGCGATGCGCCCTGCCACCGCGATCGATCGGGCGGCAGGCGCCGACCGACCCCGATGGATCGATCGGGATCGGCTGGCCCGCAAGAGGCCAAATGGCTTGAGCCAAAATGGCTACGGAGTCTTCCCCCTCCTCCTCCTCCTCCTCCTCCTCCTCCTCCTCCTCCTCCTCCTCCTCCTCCTCCTCCTCCTCCTCCTCCTCCCCTTTTCATCGTCGTCGTCCTCCTCCTCACCATCATATTCCTCCTCCTCTTCTTCCTCCTCTTCCTCCTCCTCCTCCTCGTCTTCCTCCTCCTCCTCTTCCTCCTCCTCCTCCTGTTCCTTCCTCCTTTGGCCCGTGATTCCATCCAGACCCATCCCTCCATCCAGCCTCTCTCCATCCATCTGTCCACCCCCCGCTCCATCCAGTTGCGCACCACCCCTCCATCAATACAGCATGATCGCCTCCCTCAATCCAACCTCGTCCCTCAATGACGCCTCCATCAATGCGTCCCGACCTCCCCCAATCCTTCCCCATCCATCTTCCACCCGGCTACCACCCACCACCCTTCCAACACACGCCTCTATCAATCCAGCCTCCCGTCACGGCATCACCACTCCTCTTCGTCATCTCCCCTCTTCATCCTGATCATCTTCCTCATATTGCTCCTCCTCCTCCTCCTCCTCCTCCGCATTATCATCACCATCATCATCATCATCATCATCATCATCATCATCATCATCATCATCATCGTCAACATCATCGTCATCGTCAGCATCGTCATCGCCATCGTCATCGTCCTCATCATCATGGAAATGCGGATGATGATGATGACGATCAGCCTCATCATCGTCATTACCATCATCACCAGCATCACCATCAGCATCACCAGTGTCATCATCAATGTCACATCGTCAACATCGTCAAACTCGTCGATATCGTCATCCCCATCCTCATCTTCATCTTCATCATCATCATCATCATCATCATCATCATCATCATCGTCATCATCATGATCACCATCGGCATCATCATTACTCTCCTCTTCTCCTCCTCCTCTCCTCCTCCTCCTCCTCCTCCCCCTCCTCCTCCTCTTCCTCCTCCTCCTCCTCCTCCTCCTCCTCCTCTTCCTCCTCCCCCTCGTCCTCTTTCTCTTCCTTTTTCTTTTCATCCCTCTCCTCCCACCGTGCCCGCCACTCCTCCTCTTCCTGCTCTTTTTGTTTCCCCCCTTTTCCCCAGCCCGGCCCCCATTACCGACAGAAACAGGTGACCGCTGGAGCGGAGAAGACACGCAAGAGCGGTCAGGGGATGCCTGCGTGATGCGTGGTAAGGGAATGCCCGTGTGCTGTCTGGTAAGGGAATGCCTGTTGGCTGTCTGGTAAGGGAACGCCTGCGTGCTGTCTGGTCAGGGAATGCCCGTGTGTTGCCTGGTAAGGGAACGCCTGTTAGCTGTCTGGTAAGGAATGCCTGTTGGCTGTCCGGTAAGCGAATGCCTGCGTGTTGTCTGGTCAAGAAATACATGTTGGCGGTCTGGTTGGGTGATACCTGGTGGCTGTCTGGTATGGGAATGTCTGCGTGCTGTCCGGTAACGGAATACATGTTGGCTGTCTGGTTGGGTGCTGCCTGTTGGCATATGTTGGCTGCCTGGTTAGATAAGACGGCGATGGCATTTCACACGGCGGAGTGGGAAGCGCGATCGTACCCTGAGCTGAAAGATGCGTCGTGGGCAACCAGCACAACGCATAACGGAAGACGGGATTCCGCCCCCCTCCCCCTCCTTTGTTGACACCGAGAACGCAATCGCCTGCGACGCGCGTTCCAACCGACTCTCAACTTTGAAGGGGGGGGCGGGAACTGCGTTGATCAACTTTGACGGGGGGGGGGCAGATACGCCTTTCAACTTTGGAAAGGCAGCCGCTGTGTCAGTTGAATTGTGACGCGGCTTGTAGAACCCCGCGAGGGCCTATGCCGGCCTCTCCTCCCAGACCTCCAACGAGTAAGAAACAAAATGGCACGTCGTTTCCGGCGTCACGGGGCCCTCGCCGGAACTGGGGCAGTCAAAAAAGGATCTGGGAGGAATGGCCGGTCCCAGCGGGGTGGTCCAGAGCTCTTGGGGCCCAGCATGGAGAAACTTAGAACGTTTTGGATGTCTGAGCCACGCTCCCAGGCCTGGGAGAGCGGCGGGCCCCCGAGCCCGCTGCTGGCGCTCGCGGAGTGCGACGCATTCGTGGAGGCGCTGTTGCCCGCGCAGGGGCCAGGCCCGCCCCCAGAGCAAGCCCTCCACGGCTGGCGCTTGGCCGCTCTTGGCGGCGCGGGCCCCGGCGCCACCGAGTGGAACCCCCTGGCTTTCCGTGCCGTCTTCTCCGTTGCGCCTGAGGGTGCCGCGTCCGAGGCGTTCGCTTCTTGGAGGAAGGCTGGCCGAGACGGCGGCGGCGGCGGCCCTCCTACCTCCCCCTCCTTCTCCTTTTCCTTTTCCTTCTCCTCCTCCTCCTCCCCCTCCTCCTCCTCCTCCTCCTCCTCCTCCTCCTCCTCCTCCTCCTCCTCACCCTCCTCCTCCATTCTTTTTCCTTCTGAATGAGTTCTCCCTGTCGCACCCCGAGGCCACTTTTAAGGGTGGGTTGGGCGTTTCGCTTGAACCTTCCTCACCAGTGCTGATTCGGAAGCTTACACATCGACAACCACTTCACAGGTGGACAACGGGTAGTTTTCAAAATGTGGCTCCCGCCCTGACGCCGCGCACATTCGCTTTCAACAAATTGCAAGACCTTCACGCATTGAGGACAACCCGTCGTTATCAACAAATGGCTCTCGCCTCAGCGACGCGCGCATTTGTTCTAAACATTTGCAAGCGTTTCACGGATTGACGATCACCCGTTTTCAAACAGTGGCTCTCGCTTTAGCGCCGCGCACATTCGTTTCAAACATTTGCAAGCATTTCACGGATTCCCATGAACAACAGAACAGAAGCGGTGTGTTGGAAGGATTCAGGGTTTTGCGGGTGCTACAGTTATGTTGATTCACGGTGTTCAAGTCCCAAGAGGGGCGATCTGGCACGATTCAGGATCGTCAAGACGCAACAGTCAGGTTTACCCGTGGCGTCGAAATCCCGCGGTCAATGTTTTGGCATGCTGCAGCTTCAGGTTCTTCAAACGGTTGCCTTCCAACGAGGCAATTCCTTGAATGGGAATGAACCGTTGTAGGGGCTTATGAAGAGGGACTTTGGAGGGAGGGTTTATTCCAACATCGTTAATGACCCTTGGGTTTACACTGCTCTTCTTCCTCCTCCTCCCCCTCCTCATCCTCCTCCTCCTCCGTAGCCGTTTTGGTTCAAGTCGTTTCGGCTCAGGCGGGCTGGGTGCTGCTTTTCTCTCTATTGCTGCTGCTGCGTTCGAAAGCGGCTCTATCCCAGTCCCCTTTCGCGGCCCTCGCGATGTCGGAGGTCGGCCTGGAGGAAAAAATGCATGTGGCTGCGGGTGGCTGGCCCAAGTGGGGCGGCCCAGGAGCCCTGAAGGCTCTGGAGACCGCCTTGCTGGGCGCTTCGGCGGCCCGCCGAGCCGCACGCAAGCGGCGGGTGGTGGCGGCGGGTGCCGCGGTGCAAAAGCGAGGCGGCCCCAGCCTTCGGCAGGACCGCGAGGCGGCTGCGCGGCCAGCGCTGGCGTTCGCGGCCAGCGGGCGCCGGGTCCCGGTGGCGAAACGGCGGCGCCGTAGTAACGCCGCGTTCCACGCGGTGCGCATCCCGGCGCCGGGGTTCGCCGCCGCCTCGGCGGCCGACTTGGCGCGGGCCGTTGCTGGATCTCGCCTCGGGGAGGAGCGCGCCCGAGTGGTCCGCGTGGCGGAGCTGTAGTCTCACCTGGGCGCGGCTGGGCGCGGCGCGGAGGCGCTGGCTGACAGAGCCGCCTCCCCGTGCCCCCCCCCCTCGGCTCTGGAGGAGGAAAACGAGGAGGCGCGCTGCGGCGACGACGAGGATGCGGATTCGACCTGGCTTGCTCCAGGCGACTGGCGGCCGCGCGGCCCAGAGGCGGAGGCGAATTTCTTCGTTTGCGGGCTGGGGGCGGGCTGGCGGCTGGCGGGGCTGGACCTCGTGCGCAGGGGGTCCTCGCAGGCGCGGGTCGAGGAGCTGAAGCTGCACGGCGCCAAGGAAACCTGCGCGGGCGAGCGCGACCAGGAGTTCTTTGACGAGGACCATATGGTTCTGCAGTTCAGGGATCCGGTCGGCCTCGAGGTGGGCGACAGGGTCAACCAGAGCGCATGGTGGGCTGCGCGGGCCCGCATCTCGCGGGAATGGCCCGAGAAGGAGAGAGCTTGTGAGGTGGGGCTGGACGGCGATGGCTTTGGCGCTCGGCAGCGCGCGATGGAGGTGGAGACCCATGCATCCTGGAGACGCGAGGATTTCATGGGCGCGCAGGTCTCGCAGGCGCCGCTTGCTGGCGCACAGCGCGGCGGCGAGGAAGACAAGGGCGGCGGCGTCTCGGAGGCCACGCTGGCCACCGTTCGTGCCCGTGGCGGTGGGTCGGGGGACTGCTCGCCCAGCGCGTTCCTCTACCTCTGCCCCGCTCGGCGCGCACTCGGTCTCCGCCGTCGCCCGCCGTTCGCCTTCGTCTGCGAGTGGTGCTCGAGGACGTTCCCCGAGCGGGCGGCCGCGAAGTGGCGCGAGCGGTGCCGCTGCGCCGTGTGCTTCGACTTCGTCGGAGGAGCTGGGCGCGGGCACTCGCTCTCTCCTGCTGGGTCCGCCTCGCGTTCCTGGTGCGGCGCCCATCGGCGCGGTCCGGGGGCGCCGCCGTGTGCCCGCTCTGCCCCCGCGGGTGTGGCCCCCCCCCCTGGCTTGCCCTCGGGGTAGGCCAGGGTCGGTCGGGTGCTTGTCTGGGCTTCTTCGGGGCCCTTCCCTCGTCGCCGCGGCGGCTGCTCGGCGCGCTCGCGGCGGCGCGGGAACTGATCGACGCGCGGGGCCCCGGCGGTCGTCTGCCTGCAGACGGCCGCCAGGGCCTTTTTGATGATTCATCCGTAGCAGTTCTGGCTCAAGCCACTTCGGCTCGAGCAATTCCGGCTCAAGTTCGAAGCGCGCGCCCCTGGCGCCTCCAATTTGGGCGCTGCCGAGGGGGAGGTCGAGCGCTTCGGGGGCCGCCGTAGGCCCGCCCTGCCGGCGCCGCTTTCAGACCCAGACTGCGTCTACAAGCGTTTGCTGTAGACGCGGCCTCTCGGCCGAGATGGGGCGCGGGACTGTCGAGGAGGCCCTGAAGGAAGAGATCCGTCGCGAGAGAGAGAGAGAGAGTCTCAGTGCGTCTCGCCGCCGGCGCCGCCTGCGCGATTGCATTCATTTGGCTTCGTTTGATCGGTCCGACGGAGCCGCGACAGATGATGGGATCCGTAGAGACGAGCATCACGGTTGCACGCATCACGGCTTCGATCGACAGTTCCACGGCGCAGACGCAGGCACGGATCACGTCTCATCGGGCCGTGATCGCCCAGCTCGACGCTCGCGTGCACGGCGCCGCCGCCACGCCGCGTGCATCGAACAGCTCGCTTCCCCAATTCAGCGCGCGGTGCCGCGGGCATCGCGGCGGCATCGCGGGCATATCCGGCCCATTCTACGGCATCTTTTTCGGGCAGCGCCACTCGGACACCGCGGTCAGATCTTGGTCGCGGGCAGCAAATTGGCGCGAATCCGCTCGCCCTCTTCGCGGGACCCTGCCCCGGGGCCAGTCCGCGCGCGCGCGTCAGCTCGCGAGCAATGCTTTCGCCAGGTTGTCGCTGCCCATCCCCGCCTACTCAAGGACGCGCAAGCCGTCTCCATGCTGTGGCGCAAAACTATTATATCGTCTTCCGCGCTCTCGTCGCTGCCAATCAAAATTCAACAGAAACGCCAATCCCGCTGCGCTGCTGCGGGTCGACCCGCGCAGCGGCGTCAGCCACCAGTCGCGGGTGCGCCAGGATTTGCCGATTGACATTCGCAATCGCCAGAGGACCATCAGCCGCGCCTTCTGGCCGATCTCGGACCTGTTGCGCGCTCGCCCTTCTTGGGCGACCGGGTGGGAGCTGGGCGTGGACTTAAAGGCGAGGCGACGGTCGCCGCGCCATCCGATGTCTTCACCAGCGCGAAGCTCGCGAAGAGAAGTGCGCCAACCGAAGAGTTCCACGCCGCGCGGGGGGGGGGCTCGACCCGCGGGGGGTCAGCGCCGAGCAGACCCACCGGATCTTCAACGCGGCTCATCAAGGGGGGCGCGTGGTAGATTATCTGCAAGGTCTCGCCAGCGGCACTCTCGCGAGCACGCTGCCATTGCTTGTGCGTCGAGTTCGCTGATGGAGAGCGCGCGCCCTTTGAGTGATGGGAATCGCTCGAGCAGGAGTTGGCCGCCCGTCAGTCGCCCCTCGCAGAGGGGGGCCCCATCCCATCGCGAGAGCGATGGCAGCAGCTCGTGCTCGCGGGCCCGCGGGGGCCCCGTCGGCGTTTGCACGTCTCGCGCTCGCGCCCGGCTGCTTGCCCCCGCCCCGCCCCTGCCTCTTAGAGTGACTTGTGCCGCCCTTGCTTTCCTGATTGCGCGCTTTGCATCTGCAGTCGGAGTATCCAGATTGTCTTGGTATCCGCCCACTCGAACCGAACCTGCTTCCGAAACTCGAGGCAGGGGTGCCAGTTTTTCTTGATTTTGCGGTTTCCGTGTTGGTGGTGGGCCCCTTCTCCGCCTTCCTCTCGTTGCCTTTCCCGTCGTCGTCCCTCCGTCCCACCGCCGCCCCACCGCCGTTGCGGCGGCTGCCGTTCGCCGTGTCGGCCACGGTGAGCCAACAGGGCCGCCCACCGCGCGTTGCCGTGCGCGCTGCGGGACAGAGAACGTTCTTTTCGTTTGTTTGCGTGTCGTGCTCTTGGCCGCCCTTCTTTCTTCGGTCGTTGTTTTTCCTCCTCCTCCTCCTCCTCCTCCTCCTCGTCGTTTTCCTCCGCCTTCCTCCTCATCCTCCCAGACATATCCTGCTGTTTTCAATGTGGGGCCCCCGGAAGCCCCAACCCTTTCCCCAGGGCCAGTTTTTCATCGCGAGTACTTCTTCGACGGCCTTGGGGCCCGGCGAGGGCCCCCAGAGGCCGAAAGCAACCGACAATTTCCCGTCTTGGTTTTTTTATTGCGATCATGTCTGGGCTCCTCCTCCTCCTCCTCCTCCTCCTCATCATCATCATCCTCGTCCTCATCCTGATCCTCATCCTCTTCCTCCTTCTCCTCGTCCTCTTCCTCTTCCCCCTCCTCCGCCTCAAGCCCTCGCAGCTATGGGCGGCGGGGCCTCTCTGTTTCTCTCCGCCCCTTTCTTCTCGTCTCGAAGCCCGATCCCTGGCTCTCTTCGTCCTCTCTGGGCTTCTTGGGGGCTTCGAGATCGCCGCAGCTGGACCTGCGCCGAAAAAACACCCTGAGCTCCGACGCGGCGAACAAGTTCAACATCGCGAGAAAAATCACTGCCAGAGCCCTGGACCCCATCGCTCTGCTGCCTTCTTTGACCGCATCGATCTGCGATGGCCCCATTTGGCCCGAAACCGCGCGGAGAAACGCCCCGCACGGGAACGTCGCGACGCCCAGGATCTCCGGGCACGGGTCAGCGGGGACGGCTCCTGGGACCTCGATTTCGGGCTGGGCGGGAGAGCCGCCGTGGTCTCAGCTGGCCAGCCTCCGAGCCTCCTTAATCGCCACCTGTGTGGGCGCGGGCCCGCGGACGCCCGGAGGCAGGGCGTCCGCTGCGCTGGGTCTGCAGCAGCTCTGGGCCTTCAGCATGGTGTCGCCCGTGTGCGTGGAGGACCTGGCGGAAGGGGGGGGGGGCGGGACTCAGGGAGAGGGGCCCTGGACCTCGAAGGCAGTCAAAGCATCAGGACGGAAGTTTGTCATCGTTTTCGGCGTCCTTCGCCGGGCCCAGGGCCGTCAAAGAACGATCTGGGACGACAACCCAGTCCCTGGAGAACGACTGGTCCAGAGCTCCGGGAATCCCGTATCAAAAAACCAAGACGTTGGAGGCTTGGGGGACATCGGGAAAGGGGGGGATACCCCTGAGATCCGGGCGGTGCAATTTATTCATTCCGTGCGTTGTCGCCAGGTTTCGGGCCCCTGGGCCATCACATATATTTGTTAGACTCCTTTGATGCCGATTTCCGCCCTGCTTTGCCGTCGCTGTTTCCGCCATCCTTTGCGAAAGTAGCCGCGTTACTTTTCGATGTGTAAATTTCCACTATTTTGTTCGCATCTTTCGGGGTCCGAGAAGTCGAAGCTCAATAAACGTACGGCGGATTTGGAGTCAGTGAATGGGGGGGGGGTGAGATCCGGGCGCTGCAATTTTTGCACCGGGCGTTGTCGCACAATTTCGTGTCATGCGCTCATCACACATCGGTCCGGCTTGAAAAATGCCGCAGAAAGGTGGGGTCTAGGCTGCGGCTGTGATTTGACGCTGTGATGCAACTTTTCGCAACTTCGGATCTCGGGGGGGGGCACCTACGCACACTGTTGCATGCAGCTGGTTTCGGCCCCGCCGCCAAGCGCCTTTCCTCGATTCGTGGGCGCCTCCCAGCGCCAGGAACACCAGCTCCCTTGGCAACCCTCCCCGTCCGACCCGACAGGAGCTGCTCCGCGCGCTGCCGGGCGACGCGCTCGCAAGGCTGTTTGAGGGGTACGCGCGCGGAAACTTCCGCGTCGACGGTGTCTGTCACCTGGTGCTTCACGGCCCGCCAGAGCTGCGGGTCCGCGCCCTCTTGCCGAGGGTCCTGCCCGTCCTGGTCTCGGCCCAGAGCATGCGGACGGTCGAAGACCTGTGCACGCTGCTGGAGGAGCCTGCCCAGTCACTGTTCGCGCCCCAGCTGCCGTACATCCTGAGCGCAGCGGCGCGGCAGCCCGAAGAGAGCATGGACCGGGCGCTCGCGTTCGTCTCGGAGCGCGTGTACGGCCGCCAGGTGTCCGTCGCCGGCATCTGCGACGCGTCCCTGGGGCAGGCCTTGGTGCTCATCCTCTGGGACAGCGTGTCGCCGCGGGGGCACGAGGATCCGCGGAGCCGAAGTGCACCCCAGAGCACACGCGCATCAAGCGAGCGCAAACGCATGGATCAAGGCAACTTGGAGGAGCGACGGGTCCTGTGTCCGCACAGAATCGGCGCGCTCCGTCGCCGAATCGGGCGGCACCGGCGCCACGTTTCGGGGGGCACTTTCCCCGAGTTGTGGAGCTGGCGCCCACGCGCCAGATCCACGGATCCGCAAGCCATGTCAGCGATTGCCCGAGCACGCGTACGTGATGGGGGCCTCGGGGCCCACCTCGGAACGCCCAGAAGCGAGGCCCTGGCGCACCGCTGTGGCCGGAGACGCGTGCCCTTGCGACGCCTCGCCAGAGGCACCCAGCGGATGCGGAACTTCAGCTTGGGAGGTCGGACGCCCACTCTGGAGGAATGGCGGCTTTCGAGAGTGGAGGAGAGCATCCTCCAGAGTGTAGCTCGAATCTCCATTTTGGAGGTTCTGAGCGCTCTGTGTACACCGCACTGGGGGGCGTCCCGAGAGGGTCGGAGTCCTACCAACAAACGCAGGCTCGACTTCCATTCTGGATGACTTGCTCGTCCATCTTGATGTTTTCGGGTCCTCCGAATCAGGAAATCGTCATCCAAGACGAGGTTTTCGATGCTCTGGGCATGCCCTCCCAATATGCAGGGCACATTTCGATCCAATCGGTCCGATTCGATATCGATTGTGACCGGTCCGAATCGGTTCGATTCCGATATTCCGACGATCCGATGCGGCCCGATGCTCGCATGGCGTTGTTGTACATCTTGGTGCAGCCAATCCGATTAGGTTCCGACTCCGTGCCAATGCGCCCGATTCGATGTCCATTCTGATCCAATCTCTCCAGTATTGATTGACCTTGCCATAAGGAGTCCCGCAGGCTCTGCATGCACGCCGTCAGGAACATCGTCAGGGCCCTCCAGGCCTCCGCCGCCGAAGCTGCCGCGTCGCACTCCGCCGCCGCCGCCGCCGCCGCCGCCGTGGCGCCGCCGCCGCCGCCGTGGCGCCGCCGCCGCCGCCGTCGCCGTTTCCGCCGCCGCCGTCGTCGTCGCCGTCGCCGCCGCCGTCGCCGTCACCGTCGCCGTCGCCGTCGTCGGCGTCGTCTCCGTCTTGCAGCCGTCGTCACCGCCGTTGTCGCCGCCGCCGCCGTTGTCGCCGCCGTCGCCGTGCGTCGCCGTCACCGCCGCCGCCGCCGCCGCCGCCCAGGAGCACCGTGACGGCCCCGCTGCGAGGGCGGCCGCCCCGGCGCCGACGGGTGCCACTCCGCAGCACGCCGCCAGAGGGCGGCGCAGGGCGGCCGACCTGGCGCCCGGAGGCGCCGCCGGCGCGCCGCCGGCCAAGCGGCGGCCGGGCAGAGCTGCGGCGGGCCGCGGCGCGGCCGGGGGCGACGCTGGCGGCGGCGACAGCGCGGTGCCAGCGCTGCAGGAGCCGACACCGACGACGACGGCGACGAAGGCGACGACGGCTTTTGCCAGAAGCAGCTGCCAGCCAAACTCCAGCGCCGAGGGCACAGAGGGTGACTGGCAGACAGGACAAGAGTGACCTCAAATAGGGTTGAGAAAATCTGGCCGTGGATCCCGCTCCTTTGTCCCCCTACGGGGAGACAGCACCTTCCGAACTCTCATAGTGGCAGTGTACTCTGCTTCCGTGAGAGAGAAAGTGCCATGCCGACGGCACTCGCACTCCGGAGTGAGGAGCCCTGGGGGCCCCTCGGCATACCGTCCACAAATCCCACAGAAAACAAAGCTGCTCTTCTGCCACAATTCAGGAGAGCTGTGCAGGACATGACTCCTCCACCTCTGGCCCTCGAAACGCACAAGGGGATCGGACCAACCTTTGATGCGGAAAGCTGCTCGTCAAAGGGCTGCAAATATTCAAACCCACGAGGAAGGCGAAACGCCACACGAGCGGGGGCCAAGGACAGGGATGCAAGGGAGCCCCGAGCAGCACAACTCGAGCGAAGACGAGAGAGGACACTCTGCTGGGTCCTGGAAACAACATTGCCACGCAAAGTGCAGCTCCGACCCCTCGGAAGCTCACGCCAGACATGGTTGGAGCTGTCCTTTGCCTTCTGAGCCACCGCCGCACGCCTCTGGGCCCTCGGGACACGCACTGGCTTCACCATACGGTCGGGATCCTTAGGCACTGCGGCAGCAGCAATAGAGAGGGATAGGGAGGCGTGGCGAAGCAGAATGGCTTCGGCCTCCTTCAGGAAAGCGAAGGCCCGATCTGCGATCGGGTCGGGCACCTGAGCACGCGAGGCCCTCTCATCGGCGAGGGCGTTCGCCGCCGCGCTAGCGAAGATCCCACCTTCCTGGACCGCGGCACCAAAGCGAGACAGCCTAGATTCGTCCTCGGCAAGGTGGGAGGGGACACGGACGAGGGAGAGCTGAGCGGGACGGGCCTCAGTTAGCCCCCAAAGTTCATACCAGAGATCGGCATTCTCCAATTTCACACAGTGATTACGGCCTCGCACAAAGGCCCGAACGTGATTGACACGGTCCGACAAAATCGTTAAATACTCATCCAAGCGGACAGCCCTGAGCATTCCAGTTTACCCAGTAAGCTCAGCTCTCGGCACAGTCTGCTTAGGGCTGTCCTCCAGGCCAGTGCACCCTGAATCCCAAGAGAGAGGGCTCAATGAAGCCAGGCGAATGCAACCCCAGGCTACACGACGGAGCATCGGCTGCTTGTGATGACGGCCCCCCGACCCGACCCGTCCACGACCACGACCACGACGACGACGACGACGACGTTGACGACGACGACTGCGGCAGCGACGACGACGACGATGAGGACGACGACGACGACGACGACGACGACGACGGCGGCGACTATGACGACGACGACGACGACGACGACGACGACGACGACGACGACGACGACTGCGGCAGCGACGACGACAGCGACGACGTTGACGACGACGTTGACGACGACGACGACGACGACGGCGGCTGCTGCGGCGACGGCCACGACGACGACGACGACGACGACGACGACGGCGACGGCGACGGCGACGGCGGCGGCGGCGGCTGCGGCGACGACGACGCTGACGACGACGGCGACGAGGACGACGACGACGACGACGACGACGACGACGACGACGGCAGCGGCAGCGGCGACGACGACGGCGGCAGCGACGGCGACGACGACGAAGGCGGCGGCGGCGGCTGCGATGCGGACGCCGACGCCCACGCCGACGATGACGACAAGGATGACGACAACGACGACGACGACGACAACGTTGACGACAACGACGGTGATGACGACGATTGTTTTTTTGACGACGACGACGACGACAGCGACGACGGTGGCGGCGGCGGCGACGACGACGACGACGCCGACGACGACGACGACGTTGACGATCACGACGATAACGGCGGCGGCGACGACGACAAAGATGACGACGTTGCCGACGCTGACGACGACGCCGACGACGACGTTGGTGGCGACGACGGTGGCGGTGGCGGCGGCTGCGACGACGACGTCGACGATGACGCCGACGATGACGACGCCGACGCCGACGACACCTACGACGTTGACGACGACGACGGCGGCGGCAGCGACGATGACGTTGACGCAGATCATGACAACGACGGCGGCGGCGTCGTCGACGCTGACGCCGACGCCGACGACGACGTCGACGCCGACGACGACGACGACGCCGACGCCGACAACGACGACGACGACGACGGTGAACATGACGCCGCCGACAACGACGACAACGACGACGACGATGACAATGACGACGGCGGCGATGGCGCCAACGCCGACGACGACGACGATGCCGCCGCCGACGCCGATGACGACCACGCCGCCGACGACGACGGAGACGATGACGACGACGGCGACGCCGACGCCGACGTCGACAACAAAGACGACGAGGACGCCGCTGACGACGAGGACGACGATGACGACTCTGACGCCGTGGACGACGACGCCGGCGAGGCAGCCGCCGCCGACGACGACGACGACGTGGACGCCGACGACGCCGACGACTACCGCGACGATGACGACGCCGACGACGTCGACGACGACGACGGTGACGACGACGATGATGACGACGACGACTACGCCGACTGTGACGGCGACGAAGACGGCAACGACGACGACGACGTTGACGACGACGGCGTCGCCGATGCCGACAACGAGGATGCTTCCGGCTCCGGCGACGATGCCGACGCCGACGAGTACGACGACGACGAGGACGCTACCGACGACGACGACGACGACTCTGACGCCAAGGGCGACGACGCCGACGACACAGCCGCCGACGACGACGACGCCGACCCCGACGACGACGTCGACGAGAACGCCTCCAACGACGCCGTCGACGACGTCGACGACGGCGACGATGACGACGCCGACGGCGACGACGCCGACGCCGCCGACGACGACGACGAACACGCCGACGACGACGCCAACGTCGACGACGACGCTGATGACGACGACGACGATAATGCCGACGATGACCGACGACGACGGCGACCACAACGACGTTGACGCCGACGGCGACGACGACGGCAACGACGACGACGACAACGATGACGACGACGACTGCGTCAGCGACGACGACGCAACCACCGCAGATGACGCCGCCGACGACAACTACAACGATGCCGACGCCGACCACGACGCCGCCGACGACGACGACGACGATGACGACTCCGTCGCCGCTGACGACGACGACGACGACGACGACGACGACGACGACGACGACGACTGCGGCGACTGACTTCGGTGGCGGCGGCGGCGGCGGCGGCGGCGGTGGCGGCGGCGGCGGCGGCGGCGGCGGGGCCAGCGCCGCAGGAGCCGACGACGACCACGACGACCACGACGAAGACGACGATGACGCCGCCGCCGACGCCGATGCCGGCGCCGACGCCGACGACGACGACGACGACGTCGACGACGACTACGACGGCGGCGGCAACGACGACGTCGTCGCCGACGACGACGACGCCGACGACGATGACGACGACGGCGCCGACGGCGGTGAAGACGACGACGACGACGACAGTGCTGGGCCAGCGCTGCAGGAGCCGACGACGACGACGACGACGAAGACGCCCTCGCCGCCGCCGCCGCCGACGACGATGACGACGACGATGACGGCGACTACGACGACGACTTCGGCGACGACTACGCCGCCGCCGACGACGACTTCGGCGGCGACGAAGGTGAAGGCGAAGGCGCCGACGGTGCCGACGACGACGACGACGACAGCGACGAGGACGACGACGACGCCGACGCCGACGCGGTCGCGGGCGCCACCGCTGCCACGGCCGCCGTCACGACGACGACGACGAAGACGCCGACGACGACGCCGCCGCCGACGACGACGACGACGCGAACGCCGACGCCAACGCCGACGCAGCCAACGACGACGACCACGACGACGACGACGACGCCCACGACAACGACGACGACGACGACAACGCCGATGCCGAAGCCGACGACGACGAATACGACGAAGATGCCGTCGACGACGCTGCCGCCGACGACGACGACGCCGACGAGGACGAAGTCGACGACGCCGACGCCAACGCCCTCGCCGCCGCCGACGCCGCCAACGACGACGACGACGCCCACCACGACGACGACGGCGCCGATGCCGAAGCAAGCGACGACGACTACGACGTTGACGACGATGACTCCGCCACCGCCGACGACGACGACGCCGACGACGACGACTGCGGCGACTGCGACGACGGCGGTGACGACGATGACGACGTTGGTGCCGACGCCGCCGACGGCGGCGGCGGCGGTGGTGGCGGTGGCGGCGGCGGCGGCGGGGCCAGCTTCGCAGGAGCCTACGACGACGACGATTTCGGCGACGACGAAGACGACGAAGACGCCGCCGCCGACGCCGATGCTGAAGCCGCCGCCGCCGACGACGACGACGACGGCGACGGCGACGACGACCACGACAACAACGACGAGGTCGGCGGCGATGACGACGACGACGACAGCGCTGGGCCAGCGCTGCAGGAGCCGACGACGACAACGTCGCCGACGATGACGACGACGACGACGACGCCGCCGCCGCCGACGACGACGACGACGACCACGACGACGGCGACGACGACGACGACTTCGGCGACGACGGCGACGACCACGACGCCGACGACGGCTGCGGCGAAGATGAAGGCGAAGGCGAAGGCGACGACGTCGACGCCGACGGCGACGACGACGACGTCGATGACGACGACGACGACGACGACGACAGCGCGGGGCCAGCGCCGCAGGAGCCAGAGGCCAGCCCTGAGATTGAACCGGGGACCCCGCACCCTCCCAGACATCGGGCGCTTCGAGCGAATGGAGACAGAGGTTTATCATAGTTTCTGGCTTCTCGGGTGTATCACCGGGACTCGCGACCGTCAAAATACTTCATTTGGTCCTGGGGAAAGGGTCGAGAGGTCGGAGGCCCATATCTCGAGAAACTCGAGACGCCGGAGGCCCGTGTCTGGGCTGAACGAGAACCATGCCTCTAGACCAAGCAGCCAGCCAGAAGGTGCTGCCGAACATGTCCGCCGCGCTTCCGTTTGCAACGCCTTCGGCGTCGCCGCGCGCAGCGTCACATGCGGGCGCTGCAACCTTTTCACACAGGGCGTTTTCGCTGGGCCCCGAGACCGTCAGAGAACGATCGAGGACGAAAAGCTGTTCCCTGGGAAAGGGTCCAGAGCTCCAGGGACCTCGCATTTTAAAAGTCAAGGCGTCGGCAGTCTGGGTACATCGCTCCTGGCCAGGCCCATCCTGGGCCCAGGTATATGCCTCCATGGCCGACGCATGAGGGCGTATACCCTGACATTTGGGCGTCACGTTGCGAAGAAGTCGCGCCGTCGAAGCTCTGGGAACACTGGCCCCGGGGGAGTCGGTCGAGATCTCGCTGCGTCGAAAAAATAGAGGAAAATCGCGACGTCGAAGGAATCGCGAAGGGCAGCCCAGGGGCCACGTTGCGAAGAAGTCGCGACGTCGAAGTTCCGGGAAGGGCCTCGCCTTCGGCGCACCTTCGCCCTCCAGCGAGAGGCCCTCGGACCGCCGGCGGAAGGGCGGCGGAGGTCAAGCGGGGGCGGCTCCGCCGGCGGAGGCTGGCGGCAGGCGGCGGCAGACGCCAACATATCTTTATCTCCAGGATTTCCTGAGTCGGCCATGGGGGGCGCTCGAGAAGGGGCTTCTACTTCGAGGGCCGAGAGGGTTGGTATTTCTTCCGTGGCGGACGCTAGCAGCAGGCCAGCGGACGGCGGCGGAAGTAAGGCAAGGGCTGCTCCGCCCGCGGAAGCTGGCGGAAGGCCCGCGGAAGTTGGCGGAGGTAAAAGATGCGCCACCAAGAGATGACAACATTTGTGGGTCCAGGGTTTCTGGAGTCGGCCGTAGATCCAAAGCTTTGGAGGTAAGGCCCACTCTGGTGCCGGAAGGGACTCGGTGTTCCCTGGCTCCTTCCATTGTTTTGCCTTTGGCTCTCCTCGTGCGTCCAGGCGCGACTGGCGCCCAGAAAGGGGCTTCGTTCCTGATCCAAGGTTCCTTGTCGAAGGCAAGTTCTCCGTGAATCCAGAAAGATTAGAAGAAGCAGTTCAATATCCGCAGAGAGCACCTGTCCACCACCACTGTGCCTGGCCAAGGCCAGCGGTCCTAGGCCCTCGGGTGGTGTACAAAGTCTCGTGGCATCGGCCAGGAGGGCGTGTACACCATGCCAGGGCCCAGGGCGGCCCTTGCCAGGCATGGTGGTGCACAGTTGCCAATTCCGCACGACATAAAGAACGAAGGTCCGCGCGAAATCCTTGAGACGGTCAGGACCTCCTCCTTCCCAATCATGGACGACGCCTTTTCGACGCCCTTGATGGGCCCCGCGCACTGGGAAAGGGTGTTGGGAGGGGACACTCTCGTGAAGTTCGGGGTGGGGTGTGGGGTGCGGGATGATCTCTCTGAAGGAGGAGGCGGAGGAGGAAGAGGAGGAGGAAGAGGAGGAGGAGGAGGAGGAGGAGGAACTCGGAACTCGGAAATCCGCGAAAAGACGCCAGAGGGCATCGTTGCTGGGTCCCGGGGGTGTGCGCTACGCTGAAGACGCCATGCTGACCAGGAGGAGGAGGAGGAGGAGGAGGAGGAGGAGGAGGAGGAGGAGGAGGAGGAGGAGGAGGAGGAGGAGGAAGGGTGTGTTGGATGTGGGCGAGGGGGCGCTCTCGAGAGATGCGCGAGAGGGGTGTGTGGGGTGTCTCCTAGAGTCGATATTCCGTCTTCTCAGGAGGCACCTGCGCCCGCGCTGGAGGACAGCTTCCTGCACGTTTTGGACATCCTCGAGACGGCACTCAGAAGAGGGCAAGTCGAGACAACACGGCGGCCCTCCTGTCTCAAATCTGCTCACAATCGGTCCCTGAACCCCTCCAGTTTTTCCAGGCGGATCCAGCCGTGACGACAGGAAGCCTCCAGGAGAGCTAGAAATTTTGAAGAACGCCAGGGAGGGCCGTTGTTGTCCCAACTGGCGCCCGAGGGCACCAGAGAAGCCGCGTGGCTTTCGGGTCATACCTTTGCTCTCCGCCGGCCGTTCGGGACGATTCTGGCAACCCCCGGAACGCCTTCGACGAGGCGCAGCTGATGGAAGCCACTCTTGGGTTCAGAAAACTACCGAACATTTTGAAGACTTCCGAAAACTCCAGAAAATTGTTCAAAACCTCCCTGCCCAACGCTGGCCCTTCCCCGAGGTACTCACAGGGAACAGGCGGTCCCCCAAGTGGGAGGAGTACAGCCCGCTGCTCCGCGGCTCCCGTGGCGATGAGGGATGCCCCCTGGACCACGCCCGGCTGCTCGCGGCCATCGCGCTGCTGTTCGAGCTAGTGCCCCAGAGCCTGTACCGCTTCGCTCCCAAGGCTTCACCATCGCCAGAGCCTGGACCTCCAACGTAATAGAACAAAAATCAAGGCGGAGGTTTTTCGTCGGTTTCGGTTTCTGAGGACCCTCGCATGGCCCCAGGACCGTCAAAGAAGATTCAGGGCGGAAAACCAGTTCCTGGGAAGTGGTCCAGAGCTCCAGGGACCCCGCATGGAACAAATCAAGACATCGGAATTCTGAGAGCCACCCCACCCCTAACTGGGACGGCGGACAGAGCAGGTTAGGTCGGCTCTCCCAGCGAACCCCCTCCCAGTTGGGCACGGGTGCCGCGAAGCCCGACGGAGGGCGGCACCAATCCCCGCCTATCGGGGAGGGGCGGGTCGGCCAGCGGGAGTGCGGATGGTCACGGATGTCCTCTGGTAGGTTTTTTCAAACTTCGGTCCCAGGGCTCCCGATCCCTTCTCCAGGGGCAGGTTTTCGTCCCAGATCTATTTCTGATGGCCCTGGGCCTCGAAAGCGGCCTCTGGAGTCCGAAACGAACAACAAAAATGCCGCGATTGAAGCACTATATATATATATATATATGTATTGTCGGAGTGCTGGGGCTTCATTTGCCAAGAAAGGTCCTGGAGTTCCTCCACTCCGCCTCGGAGGTCTCCGGCTTCCACCCCGGCAGCGTCCGGTGTTGGCAGCTGTTCGTGCAGCACGTGGGTGTTCAAGGGAAGAAACACGGTGACCGTGACCAAGATGTCGCGAGATCTTGTCGACGCCGATTTGGGTTATGGTCCATGCCGGCCGTCGCCTGTTCGCCAGGATGATCCACGAATTGACGATGACCGAGATGGACGATGACCAAGATCCACAACTTCCCTGATACGCCCGTAGTGAAACGCAGCACGTACCGTGTTCAAAACGTCCGTGTGAACTCGCTGCGTGTTTGCTCGGCACGCCCTTGTCCACGTTTTGGGGAACGCGTCGCGCCAGACCTACATGTCAAGTCTGCGTGTTGAGCTGCGTGATAACACGCTACGTGTTGCGTGTTGCGTATCGGGGCAGCCGAGACACCGCGTCTTTCCCTCCAGGCGTCGCGCGCCTCCGCCCGCTGCTGCCCGCGGTCGTCACCGAGCTGCTACGCCTGGCCACCCAGCTGCGCCTGCGTGCCCGCGAGGGCGACGACCGGCCCTGCGAGGTTCGGGCCGACGAGATTTGCACAGATCTTCGACGACGACGAGGGCTTCGGGAGGTTTCCCTCGGTTCTCGGCGGTCTCCCAGCCGTGGGGGTGCTCCCCGGCAGCTGCGCCTGGCCGAGAGCTCTCTGCAGGGTGCCCGGGCCGCCCCGCAGGGCCGCCGGAGGCCCGAGGCCAGGCCCCGGAAGCACCCGCCGCTGGCCCGGCCCGTTCTGGGCCTGGGAGCGGTGTGCGGGCCTCCCCGGCCGAGCCCGCGGGGCGGTGCGCGCCGCTCCCCGGGGGCCCAGGGCGGGCCTGGCCAGCTGCCGGTGGGCGGGTGCGGGCCCCGTCGCCCGATGGAGGTCCTCTTGGGCAGCGTGGTCGGCCAGGCGTGCCAGCAGCACGCCGACCTCGTGGCGAAGTTGCCGCCCCTGCCGCCCTGGCCAGAGCTCTCCGCCGCTCGGGCCGCCGTGGGCAGCGCGTGGCCGCCGACCCAGAGGACCCGACGCCTCTCGTAACTGCCCGGAGTCTGACGGGACCCCCGCCCTGCCGGGCCGAGCAGCGAACTGACCTCTTTCGGTTCTCCAGCGGGCGGTGCGGCCGCCGCGCTGCGCCCGTCGGGGGTCCAGTCCCGGGTCGGCTTCACACAAGAGGTGCCTTGCTGGAGTGAGGTCCGTCCAACCCCGAACCGAGGCTCGGCCTGCAGGGACAGCCGTTTTCCTCCGCTCTCGGAGTTTGTTTCCCGCCCGACAGATTGGGAGCTCCCGAGCCGCCTCGCACACCCTGCATACCACGACCGCCAGACCCACAGTGTGCTGGTGCTCCCTGCGTATCCCGCCTCGCGTCTGCGACGAATGACGACTGCATGCCGAGGCCGCCAGGCCCGAAGTGTGCTGGCGCTCCTTGGGTACCCCGCCTCGCGCTCTCGGGTGGGGACCGCTCGATGCCGAATAGTTGTCTCGAAGCTTTGTTTCTCAGAGCGGGGGTCCGACATTTCAGAAATGGCGGCTTCTGATCCTCCTCGTTTGGTGGTTCCTGAGTCATAACTCGGGTCTCTAGCGGCCTTTCGGGACTAGTTATCCCGGCAGCCCCGCCTTTCGGCGAGGCGCAGCTGCTGAAGAGAGCCCCGAGGCTGGTAAACCGACGAGAACCTCCGAAAGCGTCCAACCTCGTCGCCGCCGCCGCCGCCGCCGCCGCCGCCGCCGCCGCCGCCGCCGCCGCCGCCGCCGCCGTCGTCGTCGTCGTCGTCGTCGTCGTCGTCGTCGTCGTCGTCGTCGTCGTCGTCGTCGTCGTCGTCGTCGTCGTCGTCGCCACCGTCGTCGTCGAGCCTCGAACCTTTCAGAATTGGCGCCTCCCCGGGCTGGAGAGCACCCCGAGGCTGGAGAGCATCCCGAGACTGGAGCTCCGACGAGAACCTACGAAAGCGCCCAACAACTCGAACATTGAGCCCCGAAGCTCTCAGAAGTGGCGCCTCCCCGGGGCAGGCGCGGCCAGACGCCCGAAGCCTTCGGCAGGCAGCTGGAGGCCGGCGTGGAGCAGCTGGAGGGCGCTGCGCAGCAGGCCGTACGGCGGGCCGCTCTGGAGCACGTCACCGCTCTGGTGGAGTCGCAGCGGTGCCCTCGGCGCCTGCTGACCACGCGATCGGCTCGCTTCTTTCGGAGTCCATAAACATGAACGGCATACAACTTTAAAGAAGAGCTGCCTTCCACCCGAGAAGAGATCAACTAACATAATCCTGTCTCTCTTCCACCCGGAGAATAGGACGAGGAAGAAGGTGGCGCCGCGAATATTCTTTGCTTGGCGAGCTCATCGAGCTATTCTTGGTTTCTTTGAGGTCAGGAAGCCCCTGATGAGTGGTATTGTTCGCGATCGGCGATCACAGATCGCAGTGATCGGGGGATCATGTGATCGCCGATCACGTGATTGGTTCGGCTGTTCGGCTTGATCACGCGCTCGTCCGAGCTTGAGTGTGTGATAGATTTGTGATCGGCGAGTGGCCATCGTGATCGGGGCTGCGATCGGATCACGTGGTCGGGTGGCGTGATCGGCCGAATGACCAGCCCGACACTGAGGCGGTGCCCTTCGTCGCCAACGAGGGTCACCCAGCTCGGCGCCGCGCTGCTGTGCAGGTCTTTCCCTGACATGCTCGCATCGTGAAGAATCATGACGAGAGGTTTTTGGGCCCTTTTCGGCCTCTGCGGTCCCTCGCCAGGCCCTTGGGCCATCGGAAAACGACTCGGCATGAAACACCTCCCTTGGGCAAAGGGTCGGGGCTTCCAGGGACCGCGTGGTGAAACAAAATCAAGACGTCGCATGTCTCGGGTCGGAGAGGAAAGAGCGGCGCAGGCACGCAGTTCTGGAGCTCCGTGCGGACTCCTTGGATCTGCGCGGGGCCCCCCTCGGCGGCGCCAGAGGGCGGCCCATCGCCGATCCGACAGATCCGCGCTGAGCTCCGCAGATTTTACGTCCACGGTGGGTTCGTGTCGTGTCGACGCGGCTGCGACCCCGCCGCGGGCGTTCCAGGCTGAGCGCCGCCAGGGGCCCACTGCTCCGGCCAACACAGGAAGACTTGGCGATCTACAAGCGGCCGACCTTTCAAGGCTGACCAGTCCACGCGGTGTGAGAGACCAACGCCCAGCTCTGGCGCTGCAAAAAACGTGCAACATCGCAAGACGTCACCACCAGCGTCTCTGTGCGCCACTGTTGGAGCCAGGCTCGAAGCCAGGCGAGTACGCCCACTGTGCGAGAGTTGCAGCTCCAGGGCCTCAGGGAACGCCGGGGCCGCCACGGCACCAGCCTGCCGCAGGCTGATGCGCGCCCTGCTGTCGTTCCTCTGGGAGTCCTCCGCCTGGCCCGACGACCAGCTCATGTGCGGGCGGCTCCTCGGGGCCCTCGGCGCCATCGACCCCGCCCGGCTCCCCCAGCTGGACCTCGGCAGCACGCAGCTGGCCCGGACGCCCGCGGACCTGGGCAACGCGGAGCTGCTGGCCAAGCGGGTGCTCACGGAGCCTGCGGGGGATGTCGATTCACCGCTGCCCGCCCCTCATCCTCCTGAGAGCCGACGTCGCGAGCAAGGGTGCGAACATCGGGAAATCACGGCCAGAGCCCCTATACCCGATTCATCTGCTGCATGTTCCGAGCATGATCGGTGTTTGATGGTCCTTGGGCCCGAGACCAAGCGAAACCGCCCAGAGTGAACAAAAATGCAACGCCCAGATCTCAGGGTCGCCACGGCTGGATTCTCATCGAAATTCTCGCCAGATCGCAACCTGGGAGGGGCCTGGGAAGCAGCGGTGTCGGTGTCTTTTTTGTCCCCTCCAGGACTTCCTGGTGCCCAGCCTCACGAGCAAGAACTCGTACGCCTTCGCGGCCCAGGAAATCCTCAAGTACCTGCAGGCTCGCGGGCGCGACGCGGCGATGCTGGCCCACCTGAGCGAGGATTCCAAGAAGGAAAACGTGCATAGACAGAAACATTCGGAGGTCCGCGCAGGGCGGCCGGAGGCGCCGCCAAGGGGGCCCAGTGCTAATCCGAGAAATCGGCGCTCAGATTCGAAAGTTTGTGTTGATGCAGCTTTTTTCTCGTTCCAAGGACGTGCGCGAGACCCTGCGGCCGTACACGAGCAGCTCTTACCAGCTCGTTGAGCCGGCGGAGGTGCTCGAGGACACCCACACGTTTGATGGCGTGGTGGCGCACGCCGTCGGGCTCACCCACGGTGAGCACCGTGCCCTCTTCCTCGCCTGCCTGCCTGCTGCCCACGGCAACCACGCCCTGTCGCTGTTCCTAATGCACCACGTGCTCCACAACCTCCTGGTGAAGGATTCGAGGGCTCCGACGGAGAAGCTCCAAGCGCTCGGGCTAGCTCTTGCTGGCTTGTTAGACTCGCAGAACGACGCCACCGCGCAGGCCGTGTTCTCGCTCGTGGACGACCTGATAGAGAGGCGCGAGCAGCTGTTCCTCAGCGCAGGCCATGACCGAGCCCAGCCCGCCGACACGGCGGCCCGAGAGCGGGTGCTGCTGAGGGTCCAGGCCCTCCAGTCCCCGATCACCCACCGCCACATCGTCTCCGCGTCGGTGCGCTGCGGCGCGCACGCGCGGGCGCTGCGCTCCCTGGAGCAGGCGCTCATCGAGGAGCACCAGGGCCCCGGGACCGTGTTCGACGCCGCCAGCATAGAGAGCGAGGAGGACTGCCTCCTGGTGCACTCGATCTACCGCGACCTGGACGAGCTCGACAGCGCGCTCGGTGCGCTTCGGGCCGGGCCGGCCACGGCCAAGACGCGCACGCTGCGCTTCGAGTTGGAGGGGCGCTGGCAGGACGCACAGTCGCTCTACGAGGTCCAGCTGGCGTCCGCCGCGCGGGAGGGCGAGGCACGCCGCGAGCTGCTCTGCCGGCTGGCGCACTGCCCGCACAATATGCGCCGGTTCGAGTCCTCGCTGCGCCTCGTGGAGGGCATGGAGGTGGAGGACGTGCAGGCGAAGCTGCGGCCGCTGGCGGTCGAGGCCGCCTGGCAGCTGGGCAGCTGGGACAGGCTGGAGCAGGCGCTCGCGCGGCCGGCCGCGCGCGAGGCCGACGACTTCCAGGTCCGCCTCGGCCAGGCCCTGCTCGAGTTCCACCGCGGCGATTCCGCCAGGCTCGAGGGCGCGCTGAGGGACGCCACCCTCAGCGTGACGCAGACCGTGGCCTCCGCCGCCCGGGAGTCGTACACCCGCGCCTACCAGCACCTGCTCAAGCTGCACGTGGTTTCCGACCTTTCCTGGCTGGCCGCGAGGCGCACCGACGCCGGATCCGCGCCGCCAGCACCGGGGGAGCTGGCAGCCTGGCTGATGGAGACGGGCGGCGCGCACGAGGGGGTGGTGCGGGGGGGAGCAGCCTTCTGAGGAGAGGGGGGTCTTCTTGGAGGGCCAGGGCCTGCTCAGGAGCGCCCAGATGCTTCCAAGGAGGCTTCTCAAAGAGGCCATGGGGCCCTCCTTATCAAAGAGAGCCCCCCTGCCTGCTCCGAAGACCCCCCGCCCTCTCGGAAGGCCACCCCCCTCTGGCTGATGGGCAACACCCTGCGCCGCCTGCGCAACCGGGTTGTCGGCGCAAACTTCAACGTGGCCCCCTGCCCCCGATTCAATGCTGGTTGGAATCGCCTGCGGGGCGCAGAATTTCGGCTGGTCGGCGAATCGGCACGTCGCGGCGCAGCCCGCCAATATTAAGTCGGAGGCGCGGGGGCGGGGGGTGCTCGCACAAATCAACGTTTAGCAGGTGCAGGATTGTGTCCATCAACCGTCGCGCCGCCCCTCGTCGTGCGCGCCGCCCAGGAGAGGGCCGAGGTGGTGGCGCCCACGCTCTCGGCGAGGCAGCTGGTGCTGAGCCCGCTGCGGACGGCGCTGGAGGACATGGGCCTGGCGGACGATTGCAAGCGCGTGGAGCTGGCCGTTGCGCGGCTCTGCCGGAAGGCGAAGAAGAAAAGGCCACACTACCCCAGCAAAGCATTCTGATGGCAGCAACGGTGAAGAGACGGGTCGAGGAGTAGGAGGTCGGCTAGTGAAAACGTGCATTCCTGGGTATTCCCGGAAATTCCCACAGTCGGGTGAATAGTTGTATTGCTAGTGAAATTCTGCATATGACACGCACACGCACGCACGCACGCACACACACATACATATACACATACACATACACATATACACACACACGCACGCCCACGCACGCACGCACGCACGCACGCACGCATGCACGCACGCATGCACTCACACACGCACGCACGCACGCACGCACGCACGCACGCACACGCACACACGCACACACGCACACACGCACACACACACACACACGCACGCACACACGTTCGCACGCCCGCACGCACGCACACGCACACGCACACACGCACACACACGCACACACACGCACACACCCACACACAC